ATTTGTTTGATGATCTGAAACATTAAAGTGTGACAAACATGCAAAAAAATAAGAAATCAGGAAGAGGGCCAACACTTTTTTACACCACTGTATATATATATATATATATATATATATATATATATATATATATATAACATGAAATACGTTAATGTATGTTGAAAAGCTCCTTAGAGCTTGTGTTTATAGTTGTGTTGCCGCGATGCACCAGCACCGTTTAAAATAGAAATCGTTAGGTTACATTTCTTCCTGTTGTTTAAAAGATTAAAGGCACAATCACTTTCCCAAATAGTCTGCAGTAACGTGGTAAACACTAAAATGTGGGGTTTTAATAATGTTAGCGTTCTGACACTGGGAATTTTAAGATGTAGAATAGTAAATACCTGTTTGTATTGAATAAACAAACGTTTTTGTGTGGTAGTCTTATATTGTTTATTTTCGTTTGCAATGTCCAAGAACAGCTACACATTTAAATGATTTTGTCTTTAATCAGATGAGAATATGGCTATTAAATATACTAAAAATATACTATTTGTGTAATATTGATGATTACGTTTTTTTAGACAGAATTTTGTGGGAAAAAAGGAAAAGGGGACAAAGTCAGGCACAGCAGCAATACATTCAAGGTTTCTTCAAGAAGAAACCATGTCAAAGACAGATAGATACAGTGCAGTGCCAGTGTTGCCAATTTAGCAATTTTGTAGCTAGATTTAGCGACTTCCCCACCCCTTTTGAGACTTTTTTCAAAAGTTTAGGGACAAATGTAGCAACTTTTTGGACAAATCTTTTCTAAGTTCTCATCTTGCCCACTGATCTATATTCATCTTTATATAGATCAGTGAATTTGCCATTATGATGTCATCTAGTGACATTTAGCTACCAGTTTTAGCTACTTTCAATTTAAAGCAGTTGGCAGCGCTGTGCAGTGCAGATCAGAGCCAATCCACCAGGCAGGGCCAAGTTGGCCAGCAAATTAGCAGCCCTGAACCACAGGTCAGAACCAGCCAGAGAGGGCCAGTGAGAGGACTACACCAGCAGCCATCTATCTGCAGCAACAAGGTGAAAGTTAGAACATAAACAATTTTTACAAAAAAGTTCACAAGACACACACACACACACACACACACACAGTCTGTTTGGACAATAAAAGAAGTTGAGAACAATTATTCATCCTAGAATCGCCCCTGCTTTCAGAACCATAAAGGTGTAGATAAACATGTGCCATTGTGAGTTTCTCATTTATATATAGTATTTTTGTTCTCCCCACAGTTTTGGAAAGAAAGATGTCGATGAGGAGGCCAAGACAGGAACTGATCGAGCAGGGAGTGCTCAAGGAGCTTCCTGACAATGGTAGGAGAGAGAAGTGTGTGTGTGCGTGTGCACCTCAGGCTTTCTTAACCATATTTTGTACCAAGCAGTTTGTACCCTGCAGCCCTCTACAAACACCTTGGCAATTGAATCGCCATTGGCTAGTCTCCGTTTTTTTGACGGCAAAATACAACAAAGAATATCGTTTACATGTAGCGCGCATAGGTAGAGCGTCAATTCTCTCTCCCTCTCTCGCTGCGTGTGTGTGAGACAAAGCCTTCACACTAGAGTTTACGGTACGTTAAATACAGGTGTGTTGCACATCCATTCAGATGAACTGAAAAACAGCACAGATCGCTTGGCGGAGAGTGAAACTCTGAAGCGCTCAGTCAGAGAGTGTTCGGCGAGTGAAAATATATCTGAGCTAAACTTATACTTAGCCTCCAACTCACACACTGGCGAGTAAAATCTGAGAATTTTTTAGCAATTGGCTAATATTAGACATAATTTAGTCGCCCAAAGTGAAGATTTAGTCGCATATGCGAGTGATTTACTCGCAATGTAGAGGGTTGTTCCCTGAAGCGAAACCTGGCAAAACCTCTGTTTCGGGATGTCTTCATTTTCTAAAAATGGTATAAAAACAAAGTAAATAAAGTGTTGTTGTTGTTTTTTTAAATTATACAAAATGCAGAAAGTTTTCTATTAGGGTTAGGGTTGGGTTACAGCATTTATAACTAGCTTTAAATAAAAACTGTTTGTGTGTGTGTGCGTACATGCCAAGAACATGAATGTTTATTCAACTATGGACACTTTTATGTCCCAGAGGTTGATTTTGAGAGATTGATTGTTTTTTTATTAATTAACCATTTTAGTTAACTTTTATTAATTAACAAATTTGCCACTTTTAAAGTGCTTTTTATGTATAGATGTTTGTTTGTTTGTTTTCTCCACACCCAGAACCTTCAAAAAATATATCATAATGCATCACAAAATATTATTGCAACTATTTAAAACTATTATTATCTAAACAAAGAGTGAAATAATCATAAACCAATTCAATATTTATTGAATTATGTACATTTTTACACATGCCTGTCCATCAGTTGTCATGTTGTTTCCAACAAAACCAATAATGTTGCTCATAATATTTTTGTCTTTTATTTACATTCAAACTGTAATTTTTGGTCAAACCATGCAATTACATATTATATAAAATATTTTTATTATTATCTACTTATGTCTGTTTTGGGTACATGAAATGCTAGCTACTGTAAAAAATTAGGAGTTTGCCATTTTGTTCCTAAAATGTTATTTACACCGTGGAATATTGTCAAATAGAATGCATAATTTGAAAAAGATAGAAAAGACATTTGTTGGTTCAGGAAAAATTATAAAATGACAATATTCTCCTGTGAGAAATGGACCTGTTGAAACTAAAATGTAACCGACTAACTGTTGGACACTGTTAGATATTAAAGTAAATTAGTGATAGTATATGAACACTGTGTTTTAAGAGAATCTTTTTCTAAAAGTCCATAGGACCAAAAGCATCCATGGTTGATGAAACACCCAAATATGTGAGTGTGTCAGGCAGGGGGTTTGCTCCTTTAATTTCTGAGTGCTCTCACTGTATTTCTTACATTCCTGTCATTGTGGTCTTTGAGGATACTGGACATACCAACAGAAACAAACTCGGGGCCTCAAAAGGAAAATAAACATGAATGATTTCCCCCTCGTTTACAGATGTGCGACATACATTACTGCTGAATCACAGTTATCAAGCGTAGCGTTAGTTCTGGCAGGTCACGTTAGTCAAGCTCGCATCAGCTGACCTTCAGCTGATCCCCATCTACCTATGGGAATACGACACCTATCTAAGCATTCATATATAAGGTCCTTCAGTATTATCAGCAGTTTTCGCATTGCTCAATAGCTAATTACCCTCCTCCATCCCCAACTCCTCCTCTGTCAGTCGGGATTCAGCCTTCTGATTCTCCTTGAATCGGACTAATTCTAAAATGTGTACATAAAATGATTGAACTTTAACAATATCTGCAATACATTTATGTTAGTTCTGTTCTGTTTACCCTGGGGGGTTATTGCTGCTCTCCCTGCTCTCATCCATGCTAGGCTGCATGGAGGCGCAGGGAGTTCTTGCCCAGAACAGAACCATACCACCAATCCAAACTGTATGCTAATTGTCAGTCATCTTTGACGATAGTGGTCCTGACAGAACTGTGCCTCAGAGCTCTTTTGATACATGTGCTATACATTAATTTCAGCGCATCGTCTCTCTTCACAGTAGAGAAAGACAGACAGCTCAGTGAGGTTGTATGTCATCTCAGCCCTGTTAATGTGGTAGCAGTCAGGGGAGCTGAGACGAATTCTGCAGTTTTCGAGGCAGATGAAGGGTGGAAATTTCAATTTGATACCTATTTTTGACTCTTCATATTTTGGGAAGGAAATGACATGCAGTTTTTCTTAAGACAAGAAAGTGGAGCAAATTGTGCCCTGCAGCAAAAAGCTTTGAAAGTCATGCGCTGTGAACCGGTTGCTTTGGAGGCCTATTTATTTGAGAGTTGCTCGTAACCTCTGAGAGATGTGTGAGGAGACACAACCTGTACTTCAGAGCTAATCAGAGCTACAGGCTCATGTCGAGCTTCAGAAGCAAACCACGTTAGTCTCTAACCCGATTTGAAAGGATTTTGCAAACCTGATCTCTGTTAGAAATAAAAATGCAAATCCTTTTGAATTTTTGTAAGGCTGTTGCTTCCAGAGAAACATAAATATTTGTTCAATGAATACAGTATTTAAAAAGTAAAGCGTGTCATTTCTGTCGGTGCACTTCCTGTGTTCTTTTGTAAATATTCACAATGCATTACAAATACCTTTTCATGCCTCTGGAAAACAGTTACTACATAATAAAAATATTAATGATGCATATTTTCAGTAAGGTAATGAAAACTCATATGACATTATTTCCACCATATAACACAAAAGGAGATGTTAAGGAATATGTTCATGCTGCTCTTTTCATTACAATGAAAGTGAATAGTGACCTGTGGCTGTAAAACTCCAAAAAGCATAATAACTGAGGTTCATATGGATCTTGCACTATATTACAATTGTTGTGAAGTCATAAATTACAGCAACTTTGGTTGTTTTGCATTGGAAACTTTCCCTTTAGATCTTAAATCTCATTTGTGCTGTTTGAATATTCACATTTTGACATTTGGCATAATGAAATTGGTCCTGAGACATACAATCCAATGATATTTGGCATTATAGATGTCATACCTGTTGCGATACATCTTGACACACCGTAAGTGATATGAATGAGATTTCAGACACATAGCAGAGGAGAAAATAAAAATAGTATTTTCCTTTTGTTTTCTGACGCAAAGATAATGTGTGTTTTCAGAAAACATTACATAGTTTAGCGCAAAAGTCATATGGGCTTCTTTAATAGTGCTTTTTGTATTTTTTTTCTTGATATATAATTTTCCCCCCTTTGTTTTCAGAATCAGGTGAGGCCCATGGCCACAAGACACCTTATGTGAAGAACGGTCACACTCTGCCTGTAGGAGTTGGTGGAGGTCTGGGGCTAGAGCAGATACACTCGCCCACTGAATCTGAATTTAGAGTCAACCCTGTCTGGCTGCCGCAGCCCGATGACCGCAGAGGTCGTGCCCCTTCTGACGGGGATCATCGTGGAGCATTGGGCCCCCGGGCCTCCAATCAGGATGAAGGCAGGAGAAGTGGTTGGTCTGTTGGGACAGAGGACTGGAAATCTAATCTGGCCTGGCAAGGAGATGATATCCGACATGGAAGACTGAATGCTGAAGTGGACAAGAGGCCTGGGCTAATGAAAGCCCCCTCTGAGGATGGACGCAGGACTCGCCCCGAATCGGACTGGAAGCCAACGCTTCCTCGCCACTCGTCTGTCGAAGAGGGAAGGGGAAGACGAGGTTTGTAGGATCAATTCTTATAATTTTTCTCTAGTTCCCTTTCTACCTTCCTCTTCTTTGTTCTCCGCACTTCCACCATCACTTCCTCACCTTCTGTTGGGCCAACTTGGAGTGAGACAAGTGTCTGTGTTCCCATGGGTTCTGCTCCAGCTAAGGTTCTTATTTAGGAACTGAGCTCAGCTAAGCTGAATTCTCCCGTTGTTTCCTAATTAATAAACCACAGTCACCTCAATCCTCATCAAAGTGAACATTATCATTTAGTCCTTTGGAGACAGATTTGTCCCTCCACTAGGTGTGATGATACAGTTTTAATTTAAATTATTCAATCACTATTCAAATGTTGCTTCATGTTTGGAGCAATGTAGTTTATATAATAAATGTTTTTAGCTTAATATTTAATTTTGACATTCTGAAATTAAATTAAGTTGTCACTTTAAAATAAATCCTTTTTTTTAATTTTCAATAATTTTAACCAGCCATTTTAGCACTTAAAACTGTTTAATATAATGAGACAAATACAGTAAAAATATACGGGGGAGGGGGGAGGGAAACACAAAAGGAGAAATTTTAAAGAATGTTTATACTGCTATTTTTCCATACAAGACTGAAGCATGATTAGGATCCGTTAAGCTCCCAAAAGGACAAAAAGCATCATAAAAGTGATAAATTACTTTTTTTTAAGGGGGGGTTAGGGGGTGTGCCCGAAGCGTGAATCCGTATTTAGAAAGGCACGGAAAACAAATAACGATTGCTAGCGGTAGCCTGTTACATTACAGTACATAAAATTTCACTTACCACATAAACAGAGTAAGGAGAGATGACTGAGGACGATGGCAAATGATTTGCAGATCCTGAGCACCACTGACAAACATCTAGTCAATGCCAGCTCAACATCATGATGTCTGTCAGCCATCGGCGATGGATGATGGCATCGTCTATCGGCCCAACCCTAGTTTATATGTTTATTATGGTATTTATTCATATTTTGAATTAGGCTTTATTTTTATATTTTTTATTTTCTTTTATTTTTTGTTTTAAATTGTAGTAATTTACTAATGTTCTTTTAGCATTTTTATTAGATTTTTTATGTAGTTTTTAAATGTTTTTAATATTTATATTTATTTTTATTCCAACTTTATTTCAATAAACTACAACTATTATACTATGTTTAATAGTTTAAATTTTAGTTTTATTTTACAATAACACTGTGTCGTAACTGAATCGCTGAATCAGAGTTTTCAGTGTGAAATTTAAACTTAGAAGTATTTAACAACACTAATTTCAGATCAGGTTGAGTTTTTAAGAGGCACAAACTAAACAACACAAAATAAACATTTTAATTTGTTTTTCTGAATATTATGTATTCTCTCACAGAGTCTGACAGCAGTCAATACGTTCCTAACTCAGAGGTTTTGAGGGACACACTGCGGGAACCTCTGCCCCCCAAGCAGTCCGTCATGCCACCAAAATGGCTGATGACTTCCACACCGGAACCTGGTGCTGACAGCTTGCCCCGCACTCCTGTCCACAACCCTGCATCTGCTTTCTCCTCTTCCTCTGCCTCCTCCAACTCCTCCTCCTCAGCTCTCAGCACAGCTGGAAAACCGCTACGAAACGTATCCTCGGCTGGCGCCAACACACAGACCTCCAGCAGCGCTCCCCTTACCACCTCTTCAGCACCATCCTCTATGGGCAATGGCCCAGCCCAGCCCACCAAACAGCCCCCTCTCCCTCCACCCAAGCCAATCAACCGTAGCAACAACCCTGCCATGTTGGGTGAGTGGTCACAAATATGTCATAAAAGATATAACTAGTGGTTGACCGATATTGTTTTTTTGACAACCGATGCCGATATCTTGGAAAGCAGGGTGGCCGATGGCCGATATAATTTTATTTATTTTAATTAATATTTAAGAAATTTGAAATCATTTGAAAATGGATTTAAAAAATATATTTGTAAAATAAACATACTTTAGATGACAAAGTATTTTTCACAAATAAATATTTAATAAAGATATAATTAAAAAGTAAGTAAACTGTAACCAACTGCACTCAGTATTCTGGGAAGTTTGTGTGCATTGGGAATCATATTTTTTCAAATAAAGCCAAGGTAACTATTTGCATGGACCGAAAGTCACGCAGAGAACACGCAAACATGCAGGTCACATGCACACTTCACAAGATCTCACAACTGGATTCGACTAAGTTTGCAAGGTTTGTGAAATTAAATTTTTGAGATTTAAGATTAAATAAAGATTTGTTTAAATAATCTTGTTATTATTTATTGTTAAAATCATTAAAATTTGCTGAATGCTGACGGCAAACGAGAAAGTATTATAATGTTTGCCTTTCTATTACTAATAATATAAAAGCAATCGTTATAATATTTTTGTATACATTTTAATTCCTTTGTTTAACAGTTCTATCGGATTATTAGACAAAACTGTTAACGACAACCGCGAACAAGAGGGAGAATGTGAGCACTGTGTGCTCAGGCGCTGCCGCTCTCTGCGCCGTCAAAATAAAAGTCCCGACTCAAATGCATCGGCCAAACAGAAAAACTTATCAGCCGATGCCGATTTTTTTAAAATGCCAAATATCAGCCGATATATCGGCCTTGGCGATATATCGGTCGACCACTAGATATAACATGACCCCTTATAAAAGTCAGTGAAATTACTAGACACAATTAATTTGCTTCCTCATTCGAATTCCTCATGCATAATTAATTCTCCCTATTAAATGCACAGGCATGAGTGTAGATTTGGGTATGGATAGTTAGGACATGTCTCTACAAAAATACTGTGCTACAAATCACCACAGATGACTCATCTTTAAGTATTAAAATTTTTATTTTTATTACTACTTATATGATATAATATAATACTTCGATTTATGATGTTTATTTATGTATTTATGACAGTATTTATATTCTAAAATATTTTAGTGTATAAAAGATAGTAGATAAATATACTTGTAAAAATCCCTTTTCTAAACTGAAACAACTGATCAGCAGTGGAAACATTTGGCGAAAGGTGAGGAGAGGTGAAAGTGCTGTGCAATTGTTTTAGGCAAACTTATAGTGCAAAGGAGGAAATGAAAAAAATGCTCACTGAGGGAAGGGAAGTCAAAACAGCTTAGAATTAAAATGGGAATTTCAGTTATCTTCAGATACTTTCACACTTCAATTTCACAGTTGTTAGATACTGTGACAACTTACATATATAGCAAGGAAATCCTTTAATACACAAAGATTGCAGTATTAATCATTTCTGTCTGGGTTTGTGTATTAGTGAAGTTTGAAAGATTTTATAATATTCTAACTATTCAAAGCAAACCTACTGCTCTTGCTCACAGGCACACACTACAGCATCTCATACAGATACACTGCTGCTTATATGTTTGTTAGAGCATTTTTAACAAGAATTCTATGACTATTTTTACTTCAATATATTTTCTAAGCATTTAGACATTGTGGCATGCAGTGCTGCCAAAAAAGAAATGTGAATTGTTGTGTTAATTGCATTAAAAGCATGTACATGTGTGCCATGTCATACATCATAAGATCTTAGCCATGTATTTAATACACTTCTGATGTTCTCTGCTTGCTGAGCCAATTTTTTTCTTTTGGGGCCCTGACCCTTAAGCTGATCAACTTGATAATAGTCTTATTACTAAAAACAATGTTTTCATTTATGCTTGGATTATCTTGGATTTGTCGTTTGTCCCTGGTTATTGCGGAAAAACAATAGGCATGCTTATTCCAATTTAACGGGAACTCTTTCTTATTTGGGAGAATTTGTCCATTAAATATGTTTGTTAAATCATGTGAGACGTTCTCCTCACAACCGCATGCAAAATTTCATCTCACTGATACCAGTATCTGATGTTGAATATGATTTTGTCAGTGTTTGACTTAAACTATGAAATATTGTAGCCTATTTAGGGAAAATATGTTGAATGTAATCTATATATTCAGTTTCATATAATGAATGGTATATTTAAGCAGTATAATACAACAGTCCTGCTGAATTGAAAATCTGTATGTCAGTGATTTTTCCATAGGCACAGAGTATATTATTTTGTATTTAATTTATTTATTTTTTTTAAGCCAAAGCATCAAGCTTTTCAGGATTTGAAATATCAAAACATTGCGTCTCAAACATTAAATCTCCACACAGCCTCCTGCAGTCCATTTGGAAAGCAGTCAATAAGCATGTCAGTCGGTGAAATGCAGAGCCGTACATCTCATTTGTGTGTTGTTTTACTGCTTATAAACAATGTGCTGAGTCTCAGTACACTGGAACGATCCAGATCTTTGTTGAAACGCAGCTACCGGACTGTAGCTCTGCTGCATTATAAGAGTAGATATTGTGCATAGGTCTTGCTGACACCATTTGTGTTAGTAACTATAACATGGTTGGTTGCACAGTGCTGTGGCATTTCTGTTGCTGTAATGAGAGTTGTTAGCTAGCTCAACCTAACATGTTAAAGATGCTGGTGCTGTTGACATCTTTGTATAATCTAGGTATTCATAGCTATGGCTTTAGCTGGTTGTTTATCTCACATATGCATTTAAAGTCAACATGAATTGCCATTTGCAACCCATTTTACTTTCATACAGTGACATATTTCCAAGTAAAATTTAAATAGCCAAGTAAAAATTAAAATCAGAAAGAAAAAAAAGAAAAAAGGAATTGGTTTGATTTTAAAATTTGACAAATTTTGTGAAATGCCTAAAAGGTTGATGAATACCTAAAACCAATAGCTATCTATTTGGCTATTGGTTAATGTTATCCAATCCGCTTGTTAAGTAATGACGAATACTGTTTCCGGGTCCAAGCCTCTTTTTCCACTGAGAATATGATATCAACAGCCTTTTATGAGAACCATGAAGTCATACTTAACAAGTGGATACACGTGGCCGAAGTGACATCACCAGAAAAAGAAAGTTGTTTCATGTAATATTTTGATTAGATATTAGGAACTCATTTTTTTCTGTAAAGTAACCTGCACTGAGGAATGATTCACAGTAAGACCAGGAATGTGCATTAGGAAAATAAATGGGGTCAATTTTGACTTCACGTTGACTTTAAAAACCTTCTGTGTGTCACCGCCATGCACACTGGTATGATGTTTACAGTCGTTCAGAGGAATAAGTCATCCCTGCTTTGTAAAGATATGTGTTGTTTTACGCCCGGGGACTGTGTGTTTTTGTACCCCGCCAGCCTCCACCCTGCATGGGGGTGACGGCAGCGATTTCCCCCTCTACTGGTCCTGTTGGAAGCGTGAGGGTGACCGTGACGTCTACCTGTCCCTGCCTGTCTACCTCTGCCGGCGGGCAGGAGGCATGCGCACAGGTAAACGTTGAGGCCGGGCCTGTCGCCAAAGCTGCGTCCTTCATCTGCTGCCGTGTGCGCTATAGCCTCATCTTTCTCACCCTCAGCAAAGCATGCCTTTAGTGCACTACCTGAGCGTGGGACTAACGCGCCTCCCTTGCTGCTTCTCCTCTATTCTTTCACTCTCACTCACATTCTCAATTGCAAAACTGCATGTTTCGGGCATTAAAGCTTTCATAAGCGTGCAGCACGTTGGCACATTTTTAACAGGTGTTTAAACGACTAGAAGACCCCCTGTGGAATTGAGGCGATCTTAGCCATCGCTGCTGGAAATGCCCTATCATGCCAAAGCAGATGCTAGCATATGTTTTGTATAAGATACTCCAGGCAACAGTTGCTCCACAAGCAGCTGTGAGATTAGAGAACGAGGACTGAATCCAGGCCACCTCATCACATGCTGAAAGCCTGTGGGTTGCTTAGATTTAGAGCTGAAATTCATGCGTTTGATTCGTAGAGAGGCAGCTAGGCTAACCCAAAACATGCTTAAACGTGCAGTTAGCATGTTTAGTTTATGCTTTCTCACAAAAAGAATGTTTGGCTGCTGTACTTCATTATACTTACACCATATCTTTGGCAGTTATGTGAAGAGGAAATCATCTGTAAGTCATGTGACATGGGCTTCTGAATGCTTTGATTTAACAGTCACATGGCTTTTTGTCAATAAACTTGCTTGCTTGGAATATGTTCTATAAGAAGAAGTTGGTCTTTGGTGATGTTATTGGCAAGTCGGGATAAGAGCCATTTGATTCTACTAATATGATATCACTAATCTGAAATATGAAAACTTTTAAACGCTGTGTTTATCAAAAAATCAAATTTCCGTCGTTTACTCACTTCATGTCATTCCAAACCTGTACTGAATGCTTTTTACCATACAGTTACATTGAGTTTTCACACTTCATAAATGTAGTCCATATGACTTCTAAAAGCATACAATAACTTTATATAACAGACGGAAAGCCATTTTCACTGATGATCTTTTGTGCAGTGTTATTTCAGTATGATTTATATATTATAATGGTTATTATTATTTTGAATGATCTTTTATTTTTATATTTTAAGTTTAAATTTTATAGTAATAATGTGCTTGTCATAATTTTTTATATTTTTTATTATGTCTGTTTATCTTTAATTTATAACTGTTCTGTTAGTTGCCGAGGCAACATTTTAAAATTGCATTTAAGTTTAAACTTTTCATTTAATATTTATATTTGTTTTATTTTATTTCAGCTTTATTTCAGCTTTGTAAGGAAAATGAATTTTAATAGTTTAGTTTCAGCTAAAAATAACAATACTGCTCCTGGGAGCTGAATTAATGAGTCAGGGAGTTGAACTTGAGAACAAATTATTTTGACTGGTTTTGTGATCTCATTTCATTGACAAGATTCATTTGTCCTCCTTTCGTCTTCCATGGAAGAAAGGCATACAGTTTTGGAATGGAATGAGGACGAATAAATGATGGCAGAATTGTAGTTTTTAGGTGAACTGTTCCTTTAAAGGGGTCATATGATGCAATTTAAATTTGTTTTCTTTCTCTTTGCAGTGTTACAAGCTCTTGGTGCATAAAGAAGATCTGTAAAGTTGCAAAGACTAAAGTCTCAAATCCAAAGAGATATTCTTTATAAAAGTTAAGAGTCAACCACGCCTACCTAAAACGGCTCGTTCTAACACGCCCCCACATGTCTACGTCACGATGTGGGAAGATTTGCATAACGCCGCCCAAATGTTCACGCAAAGAAAGGTGTAACTTTTGTTCTTGCTGTAGTATTGTTGTTGCGGCCGCCGCCATGTCGTGATGGCGCTGTGTTTCGTTGTGAAAATGAAACTACTTTGTTTGGCCTTCCAAAAGAGGACGATATCCGCTTCGTCATGCCTGGAGCTGATCCGTGCTGGTCGCTGAGGAAATACATCAACTT